TACACCCTCCACAATCACTCACCACACCACCTCTCATAATCCCTCAGCCCAACACCCAGCCACAGTACACTCCCCAGTACTCATTATAAACCCAAACCATTCACCATATCATAAACAACACCACGGGCACTGTATTGTCACCGTAAACACCACCACCTCAAAGTATCCGACACTCATATACTGTAAACATTAATATATGTCAAGTATACACCTCTTACTTTTTTGTTTCTGTGTCCATACTGGCGGATTCTGGCTTAGGGAAGTTGTGTATTACCTGGCCGTGAAGACTAGAGGTGGTGATGGAGTCTTGTCATGGCATCCAACACCCCGTTACACACCACGGCACCACCTTCCCCAATACACATCACGCCATGCTATCAGGGTCGTCTCAAGGGTAACAGAGACTGGAACAAACATATCCTGTGAAGAATACCTTGTTACAGGGACCTCGGGTACGGCACTGCCTCTGATCCTCCTACATGACGGAAATTACTGCAGCGACCTGTACCTGTAATCTACACCGAATATACATACACCTGTAATGGCATTTCTATTACAGAATGAATTCATAATAATCGAGGGATGTTTTTTGTCGACGTTTACAATTTAATCAGATAAATCAATAGATCTCAAAACAGATAGCGTCATCAAAGCTAAGATAAAGTCATTATAAATATATATTCCACGAGTGTTTTAAGGTCATTAAATAATAATCAGATACGTATAAATATCAACAACAGGTGAATATATTTGCATCACCTGAAGAGTATTACGCACTCCAGCTTATTTCACCTGATAAGCAATATGGAGGTGGAGCTAATATTTAGGTGATCCGTAAATTCTATGATTATACACTAGTCAAAAATGTAATTAATCACGTACTGTATAATAGATCTCAGTAATTATAAGGAAATAAAACTTGTCGGACAGTCAGTCTTCACTTGGCCGCTTGAGGAGGGAAAACGTGACCTTGAATTGACATTGTGTGTAGACGGAGGGAGAGGGAGGGGCCCTGGGAGAGGTCTGCAGGAGGCCGGGGATAAACGACCTTCTCTCACCCAATTTCATGTGCATTAAACTTACTGGTACACCCCACCACCGCCTCCCTGTCTCAAACACTCCCACCACTGTCTCCTACACCCACTCCCTGCCTATTTCTGCCATCAAGATCAGAGGAAAGTCAAAAGTGTTCCAGAAAATAAATCAATCTTACATAAGAAACTCTGATATTTCGTTCTTTCCTTGACGTTAGTGGCTGGGTGACCTTGAACTTGGTCCAATTTTAACGTACACTTGCTACTAATCTGTCCGTCCGTCTGTGAGTAACATACGCGTTAATTAAAGTTTCGCCCACACTTTCCCGTGTATATATCACGTGACGTACTTGTATCAAATTTTGCAGCTGGAGTTTTAACGTAAGTGCCAGGATTTTCAGCCGAATACATAACGTCCTTAATGCTTACAAACAGAACACTACCACCCGAGTCTGTGTTTGTTGGGAACTTACACATAGAACAAATAATGTTTCCCGTCGTCATAAATTCTAATTGTTGATTTTTTACCCAATATTAGTCTTAGTTTTTTTTATTTTTATGCTAAATTCAACTTAATATTATTTTAATGGTTACTTTTGCACAATGATATCTTCAGTTTTAATTATTTATTATTTTAGTGGGTAATTAGGACTTAATGGTTTATTGATCATGGTAATACCACACTACTAATAAATGATTTTAATTCATTACTTATTTGATTTAATGGGGATAATTATCAGGTTTGAGTCTGATAGTTTTAAGAATTTCCCGTAGTAATTACCCAAATTTTATACAACACCTACACATCCCCTACACCCCTCCTACACTTACACTACAATACATAACAATTTACACTATCCACCTACAGAGTCATTACACCCCACCTATACGCCTATTGCATTCTACCGTCTACACAACCAACCTACAGCACACACACTCAGCCTACACTACACCCCACCCAGACTGTGCCACAAACTAACCTACACAGCGGGTAAATTTCCCAGACACAGGACGCACATAAGGGAGACAGCCAGTCGCTCTTACAGACACCCACCACCACGTGCTGTATTGATCTGCCATACAGCTGCGTTCCCCCGTCATCAATAGCTCAGCTGGGTTCGCTCTTGCTTAACCACTCTACCCTGCCTACCTACACACCTACACCTATCACAGAACAACATATCCGCTACACTCACCACCCACACCCACTAAATTACACCCTCGCCTACACACCCATCCTACCAAAGTATCCATATACACTCCCTTACCTACACACAACCATGACCCCCAGCTTTCACTGTACCCACAACCCATTAGTTTATCTGATAACCTAAAAGACCATTGGTTCATTCAAATAATAAGATCCTTCATGCCACTGTTTATTATCAAGACTCTGGCATCATCACTATCAATTTTAAGACATGATTCCCTGAGCTAGCACTACGAAATACAAGTTAAGTGATGTAATTCAAATATAGAAAGATAAGCAATGACTCGCCCAATGTAAGCAGGTGTACCATTTTTATAAATGCTGGGAATATATCATTAACTGACAACAGACCTAAATAATTTCCCACGATGAAAACAATATGAATCTGGGTCCTTACACTGAAAACATCTGCCGTGGTATGGAAGGTTTGATAAACGTGTTTTTATCTTGTACAACAATAATGATGGCGTCTGATAAAGGTAAATGCAGCTACCAAAAGTTCACTGGCCAGTACTGTAGCAAGCAGTTTTTATATTTTTTTGCCAGCAGTGTCTAATATACATTTCACTGTGTATCGATCAACAGTTATTTTAAGTTACTAAGACAGCAGTGCCGTTAAGCAGCAATCTCGACCACGATGCGACTAAATGGGTTGAAGGTGAACCATGCCACTCAATGACTAATATACTGTACTGTACATTATTTACTTTCAGCTCGAATACATTGGAAGTGATTCGATGTTTCCAGAGTTTGATGCTTCAAAACATTTTAATTTACTCGGTTTTACTGAATATGTGTGCAGTGAATACACTGAAATTTTTATGAAAAATTTGTGTCATACCAACAAATAAAACTATGCAACTTAATATTATTATACATACAAACATCCGTTTAAGTTTCTGAGTACTGTATGTGTGTTTTCTACTGGTGACTGAAAGTTTGTCAATAAATTGCATAAAAATTACGAATACCGTAAAAATTTCCACAAAAAAGACTAACAAAATAAGTAACGTGAACATTGCTTGGTTTAAAACTGCACAATACTCAGTCACTCAACATTATCTTGAGCTCGTCGAACCGCTCAGCTGATTACTCTCATGTCGTCCACTATGCGAGAGATGCACGGTCGTTGCAAGATTATAAAAGCTAAAACTTTGACAAATTCGTTTCACATTTGGATATTGAAAGTTCTAAAAATATTCACATGCAAGTCATCAACATCAAGGTGCTCATTATAATCTGTACAGGGGTTATTCTCGTCATGCTCATGTGTAGACGGCATCCGTAAGCCGGGTCCAACACTTGCCATAAGAAGTTGAGGAGCATCTGTTTTTACACCTACAAATACCTCCTGTGATGATCATGCCTTAGTTTAATACAAATATCGTAGCATGGGACAACTTACAGGGCCACTCTGGGTGCAATGGAGAACATATCGTCACTGTAGATTAGTAGTAAACACTATTAATAAAAGCTTACTCAGAGCACTGCCCGTTTTGGGTAGCACCTTCGACCGGTGGCAACGGGGTTGTGATGGTGTCGTCTGCTGCAAGCTTTGTTGCGCCTGCGCCCAGTGTCAGTCCTCAAAATCTTCCACACACGGCTTTATTTTCCATTCCCGGCGGTGGCAATACTCAGTAAAGTTTCCACTGCGTTGCCAGAAATGTACAATACATAATTCTTTGAATTAAATGAAAAATCCGTTTCAATGCAATGAAAGTGTGAATTTCGTGTCGAATTCAGCATTTTCATATATTGGGAGTAAGATACTGATAATTATTTATGATTAATATATAATTGTATTATACAGTAAGACAAATGGCTGAATATTTAGTATACGATAAAGTAGACCATAGTTTTTTTTTTTATTTGGTGGCACAAAACGGTCGATTTTAGCCTGGAATAGTTATCGATTATCTGAACTTCCATTTTCTATGAATATTACCCGAGGGCCAACGCACTTTTCTTACTGCCCACTCTCCATTTCCCAGGTCTTACAGCTAACACGTATGTGAATAGATAGCTAAATAAATATATACTTATTAATATCATAATGCAAGTTCACATCGGCTCAGCATGTACATATTCAGTACAGACAGACATACACACAATGGCTTACAGTAAGCCGATTCAACCAAGTATAGCCCAAGAAAGCCACGAAAAGCAAACTTCCACTGAGGTCCTTGTAAAAGTGCAAAGAGTAAATGATATATTTAAAAAAAATTATAGGTAAATTCCAATTTGATATATAATACACAAAATGCAATATCTACAAAGTACATACGATAACACATTCTGAGAAAGGGTAGTACGTTTGATCACTCGAAAAGTACAAAGTTTTGGTAATTTTGTCTAAAAAAGGGGAACCTTATGCCAGATAGTACTGTTTATGTGGATGTATTCTCGTCTGTATTTTGTAAATATTGAATTTTGTGTATGAGGGGTGTAAGGACTCTGTAGGCGGAGTGTAGGTGTTGTACTATGCCTGCACTTCGGCACCTCAGCTACCCTGAGAGATTGGAGCGCCTGAACTTGCCTAGCGAAAACTACAGACTGGCAAGGAGAGACCTAATTGAGGTGTATAAGCATCTCAAGGGGCACTACTCAGTCGAGTGTCCTTACTTGGAGCTGGCGGACGCTCGCCCCACAACGGGTCACAGCTCAAGATTGAAGAAGCCGCAAGTCCAGAAAACTGTGAGGGCAAACTTTTTCGGAGTGAGAGTTGTGAACTCTTTGAACAATCTATCAGAAAGTGTTGTGACGGCACCGAGTGTGAGCTCTTTCAAGACCAAACTTGACCAACACTGGAGCAGGTTCAGGTACATTCAGGAGCCGGTGCATGCCCAGTACTTGCCAACAGTGCGTAACAGAGACGTGACCGATCGCCCAAACGGCTAACGAGCCGATCAGTGGTGAAGAGAATAAAAGTAAAAGTAAAGTATACTTTATGGTGTAATAAAGGTACAAATAAAGGCCAAATGCTCCACAGGAATGAAGTCATGAGTTGGAAATTTGGTGTTATTATGGAATTGTTAACTGTAGGGTGACTTGCTATTGTGCAATTTTGCTTCTGAGGATCTTTATATATATATATATATACATCATGTAAATCCACAATGGAAACGTGAATAAGATGAATCTTGATAAAATCACACTGGGTAAAGGGAAACAATGGAGAACCTTAGCTTTCGTCTTTATTCAAGACATCTTCAGAGGCAACTGAATTACAAAGACTGAGAGAAAGCTTATGTACACAGGGTGACCTTACAAAACATGTGAGTGTATGTGTAGATGTTCCTCTGTATGTGTAAACTGTAAAGTGCGTAAGTATGAATAATGTGTGTGTGTCACTTGCAGGTATGGTGATGCCGAAGGGATCGAGGGCTCAGGCAGCGTCACCGGTGCTGCTACACAGTGACCTGGACATGATGGCCTCTACCCCGCTCTTCGATGACCATGATGACACCTTGGAGGTCGTCCTCTTCGACACAACCGTCGAGTACATGCCCAAGAGCAAGACAAGGACCCGCACTGCCCTCAACACGGACGCCCATATTGAGAGCCTTAAGAAACAGCTGCTGGAATCTAGCGAGCAGCTGGTTCCTGTAGAGGGACTATTCCAAGCAGATTCCGCGGGGAGCTTTGGGCCACCAGGACTCATGGCCTTGGATCACAACTGCTACCAAATGAACGTAGAGCTTGAGTCCCCTTCTGAAGGCCAGACTACAACACCCCCATGTGACTACCTCTTGCCGGGTCGCCTGGAGGAAGATTCCTCTTTGGTCTCGGTGTTCCGCGCCCTCAAGTGTATCGAGGTGGAGGATGCTCCGCAGGACTCTCGGCTACTGTCCCTGGAGGTCCGTCGGCCACAGCACCCGAGGCAGATCTCTGGTCTGCGACACCCTTCAGGATACTCCCCGCTGTCTCAGGATGTTACCATTGATTACTGACCTTGTGAATACTACCACACAGCTTAGGGTTCTACCACCGCTGCCACATACAAGTGATGGTTCTACCACACACAGTCTATGTAGGATCCTCCTTTATTCTTGATAATTTTGTCGAAGGCAAGTTCATGGGGTTCTTTGATTTCACCGCTTATAAAAATGGTCACATAAGCTCTGAATGACTTTATAATGTGGCTTTACTAAACCAATATAAATAACACTAAATAATTGCGTATTAGTTAGATATTGACCAGTGTACTGTACTACATACGGTTCGCGATCCTTTATCATGGCGACATACCTTAGAAGGAATACATCTGACAATCCTAAAAACTTAATAACCATACGATTGTTATTTATTTACCGTTTACTAGGACCAGTTTGTTTTAATAGAGCAGATAATGCACTTTGGCACGCACTGTAGAAGCACTGAGAAAATGAAGCTTAATGCACAGCCATAGCAGTATGACACGGTTGACAGTTGCAATACTGTTTTTCTTCGTTTTGTTCATTTTCTTTGAGAGAATCACTGTAATCTAATTTAACGATTTCACAAACGTAAGTGAATAGTTGTCCATGTGCTTGTACAAAAAGTTTTTTTGCTTGAGTTTTCCTAAATCAGATAATTGCCTTCACGGTAAGTCAGCTGCCTCTCACTGGAGCATCTGTCAGACATTCTCGAAAGCAGATGAATTTCTTGAGCAGATGATTAGCGAAAACAGTTCACTGACTCACTAAAGGGAAAGTCATACCGAATACCTTACTTGATATAGAAAGTTAACGCTATTATTGATTGTACAGTATATATTTTCTTTTATAAGTCCTCTACAATATTAACATTGTACAACTTAAGCAGTTTTTTCCGTTATACAGTACATTCTTTTTGTTTAAACTATTAATCACTAGTTATCTAATTTGTAAAATAAAATTCCTTGTATTGAAAACTGACTTTTTTTTCATTAATTCTAATAAATATTTTTAGGGGTATCTTTTCCTCATTGTAACTAATTTTTTCCTCCTGGCATATACTGAATCGGTATTTGTTTTATAAAGTGCACACGGTATAACGATGACACCTGCAAATAAATATAATATCCCACATTTGCAGTTATGAACCAAATATCCCTTTTCATTATAACTTCAAGATAAACCAATTAAATCATCTTATTAAATTTGAATACTTGGCACGTCTTTTTTTTAATATGTATCGATGTAATACCTTACTTATCAATGTAGAAGGATATAAGCGCAAGTATATCGAGGAAAAATTACACTAGATTATTGCTATTAACAGTGATGCATAATGGCTTAATATCCCCGTGCGTCACACACACACACTGGAGGAAATAATCCCAGATTAACACGCAACGTCGAGACAGCCATAACAATCTTCAGCGTGAAGGACGAGTGTGTTCCTGGCTAGGCTACCCCAACACACCGTTCCCTCCCCCGCCCCGTGTCACGAGATCCTCCTCGCCTGTGGAGGAAGGGGATTGCTGGAGATAAGGGGGGTGGGGGGGAAGGAATAGAAGAATAAGGGGTGGGATAGAAACAGCCCTTAAGCCAGTCTGTCAGTAGCAATAAGACAATAACTTTACTAATCCTAGACTTGCACATTTGAGGTACACAGTACAAACAACACAACACAACCTGTATATCATTAAGGATTGCAGAATGGTGAATAGTGGAATGAAAAAATCATAAAATGAGCATGTTGCTCGGAACTGGGCAAGATGAGAAGAAACAAAAAGTCAACTGTGAGTCTTCTTAACCCACCAAATAGGTGCCGGTTGATGGGTATAGTGAAACACATTAATATATTGAATATATTGAAGTTACTTGACACTGATTCTCGGACACAAACATGAAATGTATTCACTTCCCAGCGTAAGTAACTCCCCCTAATGGGTAACTCGGACAATGACTCACGTGTGACCTGAGGGAGGCCCAGCAGGTGCTGCTGAAGAGAATGCTGGGGAGGAAAGTCTCCCTCTGGGAAGGAGCTGTCGGCCTCTTCCCTCTTACAATAATAATGCGAAATCAGCATGGAAGGAGCTGCAGGTGCTGCTGGACTATGTCTCCTATGGAAGACTCTGCTAGTTGGGGCCCCAGTGCTAAGGAGGGAAGTCTCCCTCTGGGAAGGAACTGTCGGCCCCTTCCCTGTTCTAATAATAATCCGAATGTTCAATGCCCCGTGAAAGGAGCTGCCGGCTCTTATATTGGCGGTCACGAGCCGGAAGATGTCTTCACTAATCTGGGTGTGTCTGGTCAGGTGGCAGGTGTACTGGCTGGGGGGTAGCTTCTTGAGTAACATGGTCATGTCGCCGGGTTAGCTAATGATGCGGCGGTGAGAACTCTGGGTCACTGTGACCGTGACCTCTTTTGAGTCAGGTCTGGACAGCTGTGTTTGCCCAGATGCGTGGTCATGTCGCCAGTCAGTAATGCTTCCTAACTATTACCACCCGGGTGTGTCTTGGTCAGGTGAGTTTCTTTAACACGGTCATAACACCAGGTTAACTTAGGTAACTTGAGGCCGTGGCCTTTCCTGGGTCAGGTTTTAATCTCACTGTAAGGTGTGCCAACTTGCGTGGGTGTACACGTTGGCATCTACTTACTGTTATATGTGTCGTACTTCTCTGGGCTGTAAGCTATGGTCTGATAAACAATCATTACAATGGAGTCCACGTTTGTCGGGCACAGCTGTATGACTGGATGTTATCTTGGCAATTGCAGTCATTAGACGTTTCCTTGTGATGCCAAAGATGGATAAAAATCCTTGTCTGCAAACTGGGTAGTGATGCTTTCGTACATAACAGTGTACGCAAACATAAACTCACGGTTTTTCCCTGGTTTGTCTTGTGTCTTGGGAGACCTATGTCGCTTCACATCCACTTTTCGGACAAGCTTCTGGATGTAGTTATTCTGGAAAAAAATAGTTGGCCATGCCCCAGAAATCGTCGAAGAGTTTCCTTATGATGGGCAAAGTCACCTTGTCGAAGCAAACATCTCACAAGGTTCCCCGACAGCACTCTTCATCTGCTTGCCGGTCTTAACACTCACATAGGCTTGCCCGCTGTTTCTCTTCATTTTGGAGACATTCTTGGCCCAACTGGACGGATCTCTTACTCTCTTTCTACCTCTCTGCTGTGAGGTAGTGGCCTCCTGTCTATTGTCGCTTGACATTCTTGGAAGATGAAGGAATAATGCCTGGAGAACAGAACGGTACTTTCCTCAGTGCTATAAGCCTCCTACTAACGTGTTACACGCACCACTAACCCTCGCTTCAAGCCGCCTCCTCCTCCCTGTTTCCCCCCTATTGGACAGGCCGGAACATGACACTCCACGTGCCACCAGCCCTGTGAACCCTCACTCCCACCCTCGCCCTCCCTCCTCCGTTTTTTTCTCTCAATGGCCCTCCCTCTTCTGCCAGTTAGAAAAAAAGGCGTTATTACAAAGCATTCCTATGACATCTTTGTAGAAACATGGACTCTCGTTAGCTAAGAAACTGGAAAATAATGAGTCGCTATGAGCGAGAGAGGTGCTTTTCCTCCTCAGTCCGCCTCGAGGTGACATAAGCAAGTTTGCGGATGACACCAAAATAGGGCGGCAGATTAATTCAGGGCAGGATGCATATGCATTACAGGAGGATCTAAATAAACTGCAGGGGTGGTCTGAAAAATGGCAAATGAAATTCAACACCAGCAAGTGCAGCGTACTTAATATTGGAAGAACAAATACTTATAATGTATACAGCCTTAACAACATCAACCTAGAGAAGTCGACTTGTGAAAGAGACCTAGGGGTACTTGTAAGCCCGTACCTACGGCCTAGAAAACAGTGCGTTAATGTTCGAAATAAGGCAAACAGAGTATTGGGTTTTATTTAGAAGTGTAAGTAATAAGAGTGCAGAGGTCTTATTGCAACTATATCTTGCGCTAGTCAGGCCGCACCTCGATTATGCGGTTCAGTTCTGGTGCCCTTATTATAGAATGGATATCAATTCACTAGAGTCGGTGCAGCGAAGAATGATGAAAATGATTCCGGGACTTAGAAACCTTCCATATCAGGATAGGTTAAAGAAACTAAACTTGCATTCCGTAGAAAGACGAAGAGTGCGAGGAGATATGATAGAAGTATTCAAGTGGGTGAAAGGAATCAATAAAGGGGATATAGATAAAGTTCTTATAATATCCGAGCAGGATAGGACTCGGAACAACGGATTCAAGTTGGATAAGTTTAGGTTTAGGAGGGAGATAGGAAGGAACTGGTTTACAAATAGGGTGGTGGACGAGTGGAACAAGCTTAGCAACTTTGTAGTAAGTGCTGGAACGCTGGAAAGTTTCAAAGGGAGGCTGGATAGATTCATGGATGATAGAGAGTGGTAGTAACTCTCGACAGGAGCTGCCATGCACAGGCCAACCGGCCTATTGCAGACTCCTTATTTTCTTATGTTTATGTTCTTATCACGCTCCGTAGAGACGCTTTTACCTGCCTTCACTAGTAATATGGATCTCAGCCTTACAAATATTGCGCTACCAGGACAGTTTGTTTTTCTGCCGATAGAGGAAAGGTTGGGAGTACAGTTAATACTACTGTATAACTAAAATATTTTTTGGGTGGATGGAGTTTAGCCCCCTGTTGCACTCAGCTTCCCTATTCACGCTCAGCCACATCCGGACAAAAACACCTACGAATATAAAACACAAACGTCATCATTGTATCGGTAAATTCATCCTCTTTAACTGTGTGCTGGTGGAGTGTTGAGCGACGGGTACCACACACCTGTCTCGGCCTAGCTATGTTACACCAGGCCGGGCTCAACACACCTGTAATGATGTCCTCCTGAAACCCCTTAACTAGATCTAACCAAACTTATCCAATCTAATTCATATTAGAAATGGCTATGTTATTTTGTTCTATTTGCCGCTTTGACGGAGGAAGGAAATCAATGGTTTAACCACTCCCCCCATTGTTCATCATCAGTCAATTTTTCATTGTCCAGTTTTAATACATTTAGTTATTAACTTTGCGCGGTTAGTTATCGACAAAAAAGTCGACCAAACAAATAAATTCAACTTGACCCATCCAAGATGATCTAAACATAAATAAGTTTCGTCGGGTAATTTTTCAAGTAAGATCACGTTTTACCGCAGTAACACATGAGGCTGCCATAAATGCAACCCACTCTCATCCCTGGCGCCGGTGAGGAGTGTCTGAACCACCAACGACGGTGACCTGCTGGTGATAGTGTACAATTGGTGGTGTACGTGTGGTGTTGGTGATGTAAGTGTGACACGGGGTGGTGTTAGTGTGGAACTGTTGGTGTATGGTACTAGCGGTGTAAGTGTTGTATTAGTGGGATGTGGTACTGGTGATGTAAATGTGGTGAAAGTGTGTGATGTGGAATCCGCTGTTGTCACTGTAGAATGTGGTGATAGGATGCAGGTCTTATCCCGCCACACCTGCAGGACTGCCGACACCCTTACCTCAACACACTGAACTGTCGACATTTAGAGTCACATTGGTCTGCCTTGAATCCCCTAGCCAGCGTTACCCAACAACAATGTGATAAAAAAATTTCTCCGTGGAAGAAACTTTAGGTGAGGAAACAGGGGCAGGAGGGTGGGCAAGGTCTTACAACACGGCCACAAGTAGGGCAGGCGGGCAGGAACTGGGCTGGTGGTGGTGTTTGAGTATTTTTGACCCTGTAACATGAAAATCGTGAGACACAGCCGATAAGTGAATCAACTTAACGTAGCCTACCATATTCAGGCTTATATATGAAGAAAACAAAATCCTTACTGGACATAATCCTGAACTTCCTGTTGGAATAACTCCCACCACCAGAATAATTATAATGAAATATGATAAATCTCACACCAGACCAAGTTTCTTTTAATACCAATACCCTCTGAGGTTAAGTGTTTTCTTCCACACAAACATTATAGTAACGTAGGGCAGTAGAGTGAAGGTATACCAGCAGACACCACTACCATGACAGGTGTACCGGCAAGCACCAACACCCATCGTGACAACTTTTGTCTCAGAGGAGAGACCTGAGTCACGGTACATGGTCTGGTGGGGGCACTTTCACTGGACACACCTGGAACCATCGCCTCTGCGTGTCTATGACGATGGACAGAATTAATTTGTTATGTCGTTCAGCTATCAAAGTTAATAACTC